CTCTAATATGACAGGAAGGCGGTACTACAGTTAGGAAGTAATGAAATATGAACTGAATAGTAATGCGCGGATGATGTACTCTCTGTTCACAGCACTTTGTAGATTCTATAGATGGGATATTCATTAACACACGTGGAATAAAAATCATTCTAGGTTGTTTTTTTTCCTGATGGACATGCTAAAAATTGATCATTCTTGAGTTTTGAATATTTGTAGTGATTTTTTGGGAAAGGAGGTTGATTAGCAGAAAGAGGGAGGGTTCTACACAATGTGCTTTGCATCCTTCTTGCTGCTAAAACCCGTCTCCGTCTTGCATTGTTAGGTCAAATCTTTCTCTAAATCCACAGATCTGACATCAGTACAGGTAGTCCTCTACTTACAACAGTTTGTTTAGTGATCGTTTGAGGTTACAACGGCACTGAAAAAAGTAACTTAAAACCTATTTTCACCCTTACGACCTTTGCATCATTCCCAAGGTCACATGATCATAATTTGGAGGCTGGGCAACTGTTTCATATTTATGATAGTTGCAGTGTCCCAAGGTTACAGGATCACCTTCTGTGACCTTCTGACAAACTCAATGGGAAAGCCAGATTCACTTAACAACCACGTTACTAACTTAACAACTGCAGTGATTCACTTAACAACTGTGGCAAGAGAGGCCATAAAATGGAGCAAAACTTACTTAACAGGTGTCTCACTTAGGAACATAAATTTTGGGCTCAATTGTGGTCGTAAGTCGAGGACTCCCTGTGCTGCTTAGCCCTGGCCTTGAGGAACAGCTATCAATTAAAATAAATGCTGTTGTAGGTTGTGAGGTACTAACTGATAGAACAGTTGTATTGTACTACCGTAGGTGTAATATGGCTTCTTTTAGAAATGCATCTGGAAATGCTTCCGTTTTGACTGCTAGTCTGTCAATCTTACGTGTGGTACAAGTGAAAGGGCAGAAATACATTGGTTTGATGAAACGGAATGCAAAAGGCAGAGGGGCAATAAATAGAAGTAACCAGAGCTCTTGGACACCTGCACTAATCTCATTTCATTCATTCTGATTTAATATCCTGGTTGAGAGAGTGATGTCATGCCACAGCGGTATGGGAGAGGTAGTGTTGCATTAACTCTCTGCATCTCAAATTGACAAAGCGATCCTGAAAACTCATATTTCAGTATTTTTTTAGTCGAATGGAGTTGGTAGTGGACTTTTTGCTTGCTTTCAATCTGATACTGCCAAGGGGAAAATACTGTTAGATCCAAATTAGGAGTTAATGAAAGCAAGCCTCCCACAATGGAAGAGTTTTTGGAAATAGTTACATAGCTAAGGAGTGTATGAATTGTTTAAAAAAGGGAGAAAAAAAGAAACTGAAAAACATGATTCAGATACTATGTTTTGCACTAAAGTTGCTCAAGGATCTGTTCAGAAATAAATTCCTGCCATCTCTGTCTAAATACCTTGACCACCCACTCAACGTATAGACTTACGTTTCTAATTAACCTATACAAGGGGCTGCTTAATTGGCCAGTTACCAGAGAATGAATTAGAAAAGATCTTTTTTATGTACTTGAGTAGGAGCAAGAGAGAGAGAAAGAAAGAAGGGAGGAAGGTGCTGAAACACTGCCAAACTGACATAGGTCTCTGTCAACTATAAGAACCCAGCTTCTGAATTGGCAGTGAATCAGCCAGAGATGATAGATGATGGACAAAGGAACAAGAACTAAAATTATGGGATCAGTGCTTTGGAAAGATCCTAAGAGTGATTGGTTCAGTCAATGATCTTCAAATGGTTCTTCGGGGATAAATCTGATAGCTTATTAGGTGTTCCTTAATTAGAAGATATGTTATGCTTCCTTGATACATACTACAAAACTCTTTTAGAAGTGTGCAAAGATAGGAAAGTCTTGGATGTGGTTTAGATCCATAACGTTCTATTTTTTTAAGACCTGGGACACATCTGCAACCTACAAATGCCTTGCAGTACTCCTTTTCTTTATATTTTTTTAAATCGTGGATCTGGCACAGATTTCTGTATGTTGTGGGGCTTGATCCACCATTTGAAAACTTAATATCATATTCTTATTTCTCAGCAGATAGTAATTAATTCAGCATGTCTAATCATGTGATAACACACATGAGAAAATGTGTGACCATACAGAGGGTGAGTAGTGATGTAAAGGCATGGGTGAACTGATATACAGGTAGTCCTCAACTTACAACACAGTTCATTTAGTGACCGTTTGAAATTACAATGGCACTGAAAAATGACCATTTTGACTTATGACCATTGCAGCATCCCTGTGGTCATGTGATTTACATTCAGATGCTTGACAACTGATTCGCATTTATGACGATTGTAGCATCCCAGGGTCATGAGATCATCTTTTGCAACCTTTTGACAAGCAAAGTCAATGGGGAAACCAGATGTATTGTATTTTCTGCAATACAGTAGACTTTTCTCAATGGGAAAATCAGCACAGGAATGGTTTCTAGAAGTAAACATTTTTAAAATCATTGTTCAAAGCAACTCTCTTGACTTGGACTCTCTTAAACCAGGATATAACAACACTGGCAACTGTTCAGCCTGCCGTTTCTCAGATGACAAATCTCACTCACATGTGACTGCTAAAGATTCTCAAGAGGACTATTTATAAAAGAGAAGTAAAATTATCCCTCAAAGCCCTGACCAAATTCCAGTCCAGGTAGTTTATTTCCTGCCTTCCTAGAATTACACGCATGCACAAACACTTACGCCCCACCTACCCCCTGCAGATTCCATTTATTTTATTTAGCACTGTCTGTTTATCTGCTACTTCCCATCACTAAGATACTCGGTTGTTTTGTAATCAGTTAAAAATGTGCACGCTGGAACAAACCTATGCTGCTTGCTTATGCACTGGAAATGGTGATCTGTAAAACACCAAAAGAGTAATATCAAAAAATAACAGGGTTCTTAACTTGGGATTTTTATTAGATAGCATAGATTCTGTAAACTGTTGGAATCGATGGGTGATAAACAGGCAATCTTGAAAGTGGCTTTGAAAATAGAAAAAGAACGGTGAAGGGAAAGTCCAACCACTGTCATTACAGTAAGCACTGAAAGAATGAAATGATTAATGCATATGATAAATGAGCTGACTCATTAATCTCGGGTTTAAAATGTGGATTTTTATTGGAGCGTGCAGTATATGCAAACTGATGCTTTGTCTTGACAGAAACATTGTTGTAAGTACCTCTCGTCTCTTGCTTTAGATAATACAGTTATTTACCAAAGTCTTAAGTGATTTCCCTTGTTGGTTTATATAATTCTTTTCAAGTATTCATCCATAAAAATGGTATATTTCTCCAAGGATCCAGAATTCCTATTTGAACAATGTGCTATAAGTCTGAAGAATTCTAGAAAATACTTACTCGTTCTTTTGAGAGGCTTTGATTGATGACTCTTATTGGATTTAAATTTATTAAAGTTTCTAGAACTATGGAATTTAGGTCTGAGGTTCATTTTCCAGTTTGTTTTGTTGGTTTTTTTTTAATCAAACTGACTTAAAGAAAGAAGAAAGAATTGTATCCATTTGAGTTTTGATTTTAAAAATGTGCAAAAGCTGTGGTGGCACATAGGTTAGAATGCAGTATTGCAGGCTAACTGCCCGCTGCCAGGAGTTTGATCCTGACTGGCTGAGCCTTCCATCCTTCTAAAGTCAGTAAAATGAAGACCCAGATTGTTGGGGGCAATATGCTGACATTTATAAACCACTTAGAGAGTGTAAAGCACTATGAAGTGGTATATAAGTCCAAGTGCTATTGCTGTTTACAAAATAAATGTGCAAACTAGGATATAGTTATCTTTTAATATTCACAATTCTCACAAATTTGTGGGGTACATGTCGGAATTTAAAGAAAAGTCACAAAATAAGTATGGGAGTAATGAAAAATAATGTAGGGGAACTATTGTAAAAATGTGGATTTTTCTAATAACATTTGTATGTATATTTTTAACAGTTTCAAAAAGATGTAAAAGGGATCAAATGAACTAAGGAGGAATGAGAAACTGAAGTCAATAATTTAATTCATTCCTCTAACCATATTTTCTTTGCTCATCCTGTTTTTCTTTTTTCACATTAATATTTATTTAATTATGTTTCTTAACTGAATTAACTGAATATTACTCTTAACTGAGTAATAATTTTATAATACTAAGATATGATGTATGTGTATGAAATTCTGTTTTATGAAACAGAGTTGTAAGAAAGTTTTACCAAATAGGAGATCAGGAAACTTTTAAGAGACATGAAATTGATACTAATGGAATACCTAATACAGCAACACCCCACTTAGCAACTACCTTAGTTAACCATCATTTGCAAATACAATGGTAATAACTAGTAGTAAAATAAATTCATGTTCCAACCAATGTGTGCGCTTATGACCACATTTCTGCACCTGACAATAAGAAACATCGGGGTGAGAGAAACCCTGGTGTAGGTGCATAGATTTTATCTGAATGAGCTGGCAGCAACCAGCCATCTTTGCAGTGTCTCTTCTTCTCTGTCTCCGAGTTATGTGTTCACCTAGGGACCATTTCACTCAATGACAAAATCTCTGGAACAGATTGCAGTTGCTAAACAAGGAGACAGTGAGGCAAGTAAAAGGATGGTTAAAGAGTATAGGAACGCAACATATTGACAAAGCCTAACATCATAACAACTATAGCAATATCCCCAAGAGCCATGCTTGATTCTTAGCTAAAGAACAGGTATATTTCCTTTGTAAGATGTCTAAAAAATCTGGTACAAAATCAATCATTTGCTTTTATATGCATGTCTAATGTTTTCATGAAAATTAAGGGCTGTTTTTAGACTAAAAATTGAAATGTTATCTCACCAGATAGAAAGTTTAGTTCAATATTGAAGTTATTAGAATGAGTATAGAATGCTACAGATAACATGCATTTAATGAAAAAGAAGCATTGCTCCTAATACATATTTCCTTCCCTTCCTTCTTTCAGGGGGCTTTGCCACCTTCTCGTCTTGTTTCCCAGGACTCTGTGAAGGAAAACCAACTGCCATCCTGCCAATGAGTATCTCTCAGCCATGCTTGCCAGTGGCCAATGTTGGCCCAACACGCATCTTGCCTCATCTCTATCTAGGTTCCCAGAAAGATGTCTTAAATAAGGTACTCTATGACATTGAGGGAGATGGGCTTGTCTTGTAGAATCTGTATCTTCTTCTGTAAAAGTGCTAAGGGCCATTCCCAAGAAGAGTCATTTGCTACCTGTGCGTAATCGTACACCATCCCGTTGAACAACCGAGTCTTTCTGGATCTCTGAAGTGTGCAGAGACAGAGACTTCATAGGCTTCCCTTGAAGCATTAAAGGCATTAGCAGTGGGAATGCCAGGATGGTGAGGCTGTCCCTAAGAAATGTTATGTGAGGGGAGCCAGTTTTGCATTGCCGGTGTACGGTGCCAGCCAGGCTAAAGAACAACATTGACTTCAGCTTTTCCATGTCCAGCCAGAGGATGAGGTATTAGCCTTGGCATTCAGCTGTGACTGATGGTAAGTTGAGGTGCCAGAGAGTGTAGGCAGTGCAGCCTACATTTGCAAGGGGAAAAAAAAATCCTTTGAGAGGGCCCCCAAATGCATAAAGATGAGCATTGGGAATGGAAGAGAAGGGAGGGAGAGCAGCACTGTCCTTTCAAAAGGTGCCAGAATGCTTTGGCTATGATAGGACTGCAGGAAAGAAAGAATAAGAAAGAAGTCATTATTACAATATCAGTGGGCATGTATCCCAGGCCAGAGGGAGCCAGTAGCGTATTGCTCACAGGGAGGTGGGAGGAAGCATCTAAATTAGAGGTGCAGAAAGGAAGAAAATAACATTTTATACAGGGAGTGGAAAGACACAAGAATGAAAAAATGCTAAGAATGTAAGCTTGGGAGTTTGGCTGGCTCCTAGAATCGGAGGTTAGAGTTTATTGCACAGGGACTGTGGAGAAAAATGGTAACTCATCAAGAGGAACATCGTGTTGCCCTTGAAACATAGGGAACCGTCTATGTTGTATTTAGGGTTTTTTTTCCCCCTTCACTGTAGCAAAGCAATATTTGGAATACCCTAATGCCTTATGATTTAATGCGTGGAAATGTCTTGTAGCCTTTCCCCAAAGTCCATTCCTCTCTTAGAAGACACGCTGCAAGCCTATTTTCTTTTCCCATTGGAAAATACAAGAAGTACATGGATCTGATTCCATTGGGAGTTTATGCCATAAAAGCATTTCAAATGTCTGAAAATGTTGTTATTGAAGGTGCAGCTGTTCACTATGACAAGAAGCTGCTCAACTATTTTAAACTGGCAGCTAAAATACATAGAAACCCCCTATGGCTACAAAACCCCTGATGGCAGACAGTCTAGTAGGAGATTCAAGGGAGAAAGGAGGACAAAGTCTAGCAGTGGAAGATCTGTAACCTTCCCAACATTGTCGAAGTTCCTCCTCTTTGGCCATACTGACTGTGGCTGCTGAGAACTGTACTTCAAGATCTTCTGGATTTCCACTGCCTCTTAAAACTAGAGCATAATCAGAAGCTGTGGAAGAATAGGGGAGAGGATTCTGCAATGATTGACAAATGAAAGAACCTAGCTCTTTTTTTTCTCCTTCAGGACCTGATGACCCAGAATGGGATCAGCTATGTTCTCAACGCCAGCAATTCATGTCCCAAGCCAGATTTCATCTGTGACAGTCACTTCATGCGCATTCCAGTCAATGACAATTACTGTGAGAAACTGCTTCCTTGGCTGGATAAATCGATTGAGTTCATTGGTAAGACCGGTCTTATTGGTAAAGAGCTCTTGAAGGTCGTTGTTTTTTTTCATACCTTTTCAGTTTCTCTGCTGCCAATGCAAAAGGTTTTGGAATGATGTCCAAATTGCTCAGTTCCCCTTGTCCTGTTCCATTGATCCCATATTTTAAGATCTATGGCAGAGCTGGGGAACTATGGCCCCTTTATGACTTGTGGACTTCAACTCCCAGAATTCCTGCTGGCTCAGGAATTCTGGGAGTTGAAGTCCACAGCTCATAACAGGGCCATAGTTCCTCATTCGTGATCTATGGTGTGCAAAATACCAGCCTTCCCTTGGATGGTGGACCTTTGTACAAAATATTTCCTGGTGCTGATGCCCAGATAATAAAGCTAATGTAAATCTGGATATCACAGAGAAACAATTAGTACTACTTGAGATAATACTGCTCTTTCCTTTGATGAATATGGTTTTTAAACTTCAGAACAACCACGCTTATTCAGATAGTATTTGTTAATATGTACAAAGAAATTATTTATTTCTTAAGACACAGAATGTAGGCAGTGTTTCAGATAGTCTGTGAAAGCACTTTTGACCATCCTGGTACCTTCTGGAGTATTGAATCAACTCCCATAATGACCTTTAGGATTTATTTATTTATTTATTTATTTATTTATTTATTTATTTATTTATTATTTATTTATTTATTTATTTATTTATTTATTTATTTATTTATTTATTTATTTATTTATTTATTTATTTTTTATACCGCCCCCTCTCCCGAAGGACTCGGGGCGGTTGAACAGCCAAAATAAAAACACACAATACAAATATTAAAATACATTAAAATGAAATTAAATTATCTTTGGCTTCTCCAATTTAAAACCCCTTGCCCATAAAATTCCCCAATTAAAAGATTTTTAACCCAGCCCGGCTTGCTGAAATAAAAAAGTCTTCAGGGCCCGGCGGAAGGTCCGGAGGTCCGGGATCAGTCGTATCCCTGGGGGTAGCTCATTCCAGAGGGCGGGTGCTCTGGAGTGTTGACATCCAAAATATCTAAAGGATGGATGGATGGAAGATTTGCAAACAATGCTGATATTTGTTGATTTATTTAGTTGATGCTCTGCTTAAATAAATGAATTCTGTGCCCAGATTTTTAATCCGGGCTTTATTCGTTCCGTAATTTTTATCATGTCAAAGCAACACAATTTGTTGCAAATGATTGTCAAATAGACAGCCATAGTCCAGGCTCTAAGAATGAAATCACTCCCTCATAAGGGATGAAGGATGTATTTGCCTGTCTGGTGACTTTAAATTATTTTAAATTTGCATTATGCAAAGAAAGTATATTTCTCTGATTCCCATGTTATATATGGAACATACAATTGGTTTACAACATTTTTTCATCTCAGACTACTGGTCATGCTGGCTGGGCTAATTAGAGCTGTAGTCTGAGATCCTCAGATTCCCTCTCCTTGCTGCAAGCTAAACGCAAGAGTTGTGTAACCAGTATGACAAGCACAGTGAAACCTGAAACTTAATATAATGGAATTTGAAACAGTCCATAATTTATATAATGACGTTACTATACAAATGATGTCATTTGCATAAGGATGTCAATACACAAATGATGATGGCGTAGTGTTCAGGTTATTGGAGTGAAAATCCCACCCCCACCAATCAAAACAAGGTTAAAGCAAGTTTTGACTTAAAGCATTTGTGCAGAGATAAATATCTTGTTCATATAATTTATTGCTTCTTCTTTCTGGTCTCCAAGGGAGAGCAATGTTAGTCTGTAGCAACAAAAACAACCAAGAAGTTTATGACACATTTTAAGATTTCAGATTTGATAAGATAAGCTTTCTTGGGGTTGCCTTTACTTCACCAAATCTGAAATGAGTCTTGGTAGCCTTTAAGGTTTCTGTGTTTGAAGTGATCCCTTGTCTTCTTGTCCTGCAGATAAGGCCAAGGTTTCTAGCTGCCAGGTGATTGTGCACTGCTTGGCAGGGATTTCCCGATCGGCCACCATTGCCATTGCATACATCATGAAGACCATGGGCATGTCTTCAGATGATGCCTACAGGTAGGTGGATTTCTAGAAGATAACGGTTCTTTTTCCTTTTCAAGGAGATAGCTGGTTGACTGGTTCTTCCCTCCCACTCAATCCTCAAAAGTTCCTTAGGACAGGTTTTATTTTTATTTTATTTTTTTGACAGCTATTTTTGGAATCAAGCTTTGTTTTTTCTACATGTCCCTCCCCCCCCACAGAAAGAAAAGTGCGGTGACATAAAAAGGAAACAATACCATAAATATTATGCCAGTGAGGGAATGGTCTTTTGTGAAGTTCTAATTCTTAATTCTTTCTTAGTGTAAGCTTAGAAGTTGATTTATGTAACTGTCAGGCTTGTGGTAGCCACTTCAATTTCACCTGCTGATTGGCTCCCATTCTTTGACCATTTGGGATCATTCACATGTAAATTTAGTCAGTTTGTGATTCACAGTAATTTTTTTATTTAAAAAAACTGCTGATAGGGCACACTGCACAAAAAAATTAAGTGCTGAACTAATACTCTATATACAGAAAGGGCTTAAATATGGATATGGAATCACCATATAGATTACCATATAGATCCTTGAAATTTGTGGAACTTGGTAACAATTGAACTTCTATTGGATAAGGAGAGATCCTTAAATATATCTCTACTTTTTAAAGCCATGGGCGTGTGGGAAAGACAAATATAATTTGTGTTTCTAGTGTTGCTTTGAGTTAAGAATCTTTTACAACCATGGCTTGCTGATTAGATGTTGAAAATCCTGGTAATGCTTTCAAGGTGTATAAAATATATCTTTATTGAAAGTAAGAAAATGCCATGTAATAATCATGGCTCTTTGCTTGCCCCGACAGGTTTGTCAAAGACAGACGTCCCTCCATTTCACCCAATTTCAACTTCTTAGGTCAACTCCTAGAGTATGAGAGAAGTTTGAAGCTACTCAAGGCTTTGAAGGCCCAAGGAGAGAAAGGGGAAGGGGAACCCCAGCAAGAATACTTTGAGACTTGTGAAGGTAATAGACCCCAGACTCTGTCTCTCTCGGAAAAGACTGAGGAGGTATTAAAAAGCACAATCTTGGAAACACAATCCATTGACTCTGAGCGATCACTAGGAATTTCAAAGGTTGTCTCACCCATGGCATTGCAGCAAGGACTCAATGGGCTGCATTTATCTTCTGATCGCATCCAAGACACCAACCGACTCAAGCGTTCTTTTTCTCTGGACATCAAGTCAGCCTACTGTCCTACCCAAAGGCAGGAGATCCCGGTGCCTACCGAAGTAGGGGAAACTCCCAAGCTTTGTAAGTTGGACAGCCCTTCAGGTCCCAATGGTACGTGTCAGTTCTCTCCTCTTCCAGATGGTTCTGACTGGCCCAGTGGACCTGACTTCATTCTAGAGGCCAAAGTACGACAACGACGGAAGCACAGGCACCAAGCAGGCTCCCCTGCCCATGGGCTGAGCCTTAATTTCAGTGGGATGTGTGCCATGCACAAAAGCACCAGCATGGAGGACAATCTCAAGCAGACCCTTCGGCTGAGCCTTCCCAATGTAGGGCAGCAGCTGGCACAGCCAGCCACCACCCCCTCCAATGCTGGTACTTGGGGGATGCACGTGGAATCCCCAAGCACGCCTTCCTCGGAGAACCCCTGGTACTTCAGCACAGACTTGGCAGCGGGCAGCAAAGGCAGCGGGAGTGGGACTCTCTTTGCCAGCGCCACCACCTACTCCTCATTCAGCTGCAGCACAATCCAGGCAAGCTGTGAGATCAGACTGAGGGACAAGCAACGAGGGGAGCAGCGAGAGGTGCGGCATAGCTGGCACGAGGACACCATGCCCGAGAAGCAGTTCAAAAGAAGGAGCTGCCAGATGGAATTTGAAGAAACCTTATCGGAGAGCAGATCTCGGGAAGACCTGGGCAAAATTAGCAAACAGTCTAGCTTTTCAGGCAGCATGGAGATCATAGAGGTGTCCTGATTTTCACTGTGTGAGATTTGAGAGCAAGTGTGGGTGCATCTGGGGGTGTGGGAGGGGAAGGGAGGTAGGGACGAGGAGGAAGATGGGTGACATATTTAACGGAGGAGAAGGTGGGTGTGGGCGTAGGAGCATTTTTTTTTTCATGTGCCCGTGTGCATTTCCAAAGGGCATATCCGCTAAAACGAAGGCAAAGCTAAAGGAATCTGAAGTCAAGAAACATAACGGTGCATGCTTAGTGCCTCCTTTGGTTCCTACCTCCACCACCACGACAAACCACAATCACATTCCCTTTCTTGGGTAGGTGGAGAGTATATTAACTCTTTAAATATTGGGTTCTTTCCTTTTGCATGCAAAGGGTGCTTTCTCTTCCCCTTCAGAGGGAACGGGGAGAGCTGATGCATGTGTCCTACGATGGGGTTGAAAGAGAAACTAGGGCGAAATTGAAGCTTGGGAGGGGTGAAAGTTTTCTTGGAGGAAAATGGTTGCTCTTTGATCTGCAGATTTGCAACAGGAAGAGTTAAAGGGAAGCAGGTTCTTTTCTTTGAAGAGTGTATTACTAATGATAATGAGTACATTCCTATCTAACTTATAGGAAGTAATCGAGATTTTGCCTGTCCATTTCCATTACAGCTGGGGCATTTCCTTTCTATTCCATCAGGGTTGGACGATATATTGGTGGCTCTTTCCCAAATTCAGGTGCAGAAACCTGGAGAGGTTTCTTTTCCGAGGCTCCCCTCTTCCTATACTGAGCATGGGCCTTTGTGTTTCTCTGGCTAGTATTCTTTAAAGCTGCTGTTCAGCAGTCCTATACATATATAAATATATATTATATAATAATATAAAAGAGAGAAAAAAAACAAAGAAAAAAAGTTTAAAGGTTTTACTACAGTTTTTATTGAGACAAATAATTTTCGACTTTTCTTTCTAATTTATTTGAAGCTGTTCATTCTGGCAATGATTTTCAGACAATGTAGGGGCAGCACTCCAGCTCTGTTTTTATGTATATGGTATTTAAATCTGAAACACGAGTTTCAAAGCAATATCTTAGGCCTGTGGCTCCTTCAAAGGCTTGCATCAGTGGTGGAAGCACCCCCAAAAGAGATAAAAGAGGTGTGTGTGTGTGTGTGCGCGTGTGCACATGTGTGTGGGTGTGTATATGGGCATCTGCTTTTTATTTTTTAAAAAAAGTGAGAAAATCTTTAACTCAAACTGAGCCAGGAATTCTTCTTAATGCTTCTTTATTTTCCTTGTTCTATCACACCTTGCAATCAAAGCCATAAAACCTTCTCCTTCCTGGGTCTGAGCAGGGGATAATAATGAGAGCTGTGGCTGTAAGAGTAGGCTTAGCTATAAGAAAAAATAGGAAGGGGGAGCAGTCTGCATAGGAGCTATATATTCAATTAAATATGTGCCACCTGTAAAAGGAGCACATTAGATCTAAACCCAGGTTTGTTTGTTTTTTCCAGTGGGGAGGGCTTTCAGAAGGCCAGAGTATTTAATTTCCCATTGACTTAGGAGAACTGGTGGGCTCTTAAACCCAAGGGCAGGCTACTCTGAATGGCTCCTCTTGTTCAAACAATGTTAAACCCAGCATCTGTGGAAGGCAGATGGAGGTGGAAGAGAATTTTGGAGAACTAAGACCATGGAAATGTTGAATAAATTATGTTGTGGTACTAGAGTAAAAATCTCTTAAATATCCTCAGGCCTATTTTAGGGAAGCTGCCAGGAGGCAGTGTCTTTTTACTACTGCAAGAACCGACATTTTAGCTTCAGTTCACCATCCAAAATCTCTTGTCTCCTCTAAGTATTCATTCACCATCGATCAGGGATTTTTCAGTGAATGCAAATCAGTCAGTGAGCAAATAGTCCAAAGACAAAGTTCACTTAGCAGGTCATCAAAGTGAACAGCCTTTCAAGAAATGAAGTTCTAGAAAAGATAAAGAATATTTTAGATGTAAAGTGACGCACCCATCCCAAATTCAGTTTTCTAAGCCTCTAGAATGTTATTAAGGACTTCAGTTTGATCAGAGATTTTGTCTTGAATTTAAGAAACTCGTGTCAATGACCAAGACAAGAAAACTAGTTTTGAAGGTTTTATCTAAATAAGTCACTGGGAAGTAATTTGGATGAACGTTTTTCTGCAGGTAACATTTTTCTTCTTAGGGGGAGGAAAGGTTTCTCTGGCCCCTTTTAAAAGATGTACCATCTTTTTCAGATTATAAAATGCTCCAGACTATAAGACGCACATAGCTTTTGGGGAGGAAAACAAGAAAAAAAAAAAAACCCTGTCTCTGCCTCCCAGCAATTTGCCTCCTTACAGCAAAGAGCAGACAGCCTGGTCAGCTTCAGCACAGCCTGATTTAGCACAAGCAGCTGATTGGCGATTGGATCGGCCTCCCGGAATACCACCTATCAGCTGTTCCAGGCTGCGGGGATCACCACCACCTATTTCTATCTCTGTGCACCCCATTTTCGGCCTTTGCGTGCCCCATTTTCAGCCGCCGCCTATCCCCGCTGCCTGGAACGGGCCGAAAATGGGGTGTGCGGAGGCAGCAATAGTCAGTGGCGATGGGTGGCAGTTTGCTGCAAGGAGGCAAATTGCTGGGAGACAGAGGCCGGTGGGTGGGGCTTCAGCAACATTTGCTCTATAAGACATACAGACACTTCCACCCACTTTTGGGGGAGGGGAGTGCATCTTATACACCGAAAAATACGGTATATCTTAAATCAGAAGAGGCCATAGCTCAGGATTTTTTTCACACCACAAGTGGATAATTGGACCTTTTCCCAGCTGTTAAAATATGGTAATAAAATGACAAATGTAAAATAGATCACTTCTGACTGGTAGAAACACCCTGCTCAATCAACTTGATACTAGGGCTGGCCTTAGATGAGGAGAAAAAATGGGTTTCACATTACTGAACAGTAGGCAGATTCAAATGTGTTTCTGGTGGAGAAGATTGAGAAATACTACACACTGCTGGTTTTCTGGTGGAGTAGGGAAGATTATTTGTAAGCCACTGACTGTGTAGATGAGCTCAGCCAAGCAGAGGGTTTACCCCTCAGTGGGTCACTTCCTTGGGAACCTCTTGTGTGGAAGCTCTCCATGGAAGTGAGCTGCTTTAACCTGGTAAACGTTACAGTCCCAGTGTTGTATGAAATATTTGTCGAAGGCCTCTATTTCAGAAGGCCATGTTGTTTACATTGCCTTGAACAGGTACAAAACGGAACTTTAGGGCAAGCAAATGAACACGCATGTCAAGATAATAATTGGCCACAAGTGTACGATCCCAGTCGAAACACAAGAGTGGGAAGGATGTTGCACATTTTCATTATCGGCTACTCTGAACATATTTGTGGCGAGCAGCAAAGGATTCAGCTCAGTTCATGACACGGAGGCACCACAGGGGCTGCTCATCTATTTAAAATAAAGGCACAGTACTGTCTCCCTGAAAGCACATTTTCTTCTTTGTGTATCTGGTTTTGTATTTGCTCCTTTCGTATCACGTGCTGGTTTTTTTTTTTGTTTGGTTTGTTTGTTTGTTTTTGTTTTGAGCCAATACCTCAGGGTTGTTTGTGTAGCTTTTAAAAGGAAAAAAAATCTTTTTAGTGCATTTCTTTTCCCATTTCTTTCTTGTTCAGCTGTATTTTTTTTTTAAATACACAAGACAAAAATAACAATCTCAGGTTCAGACTTTGCAAACCACAGGGGGAGCAGCAATAACATGTTCTTGCATCAGGTTGTCTGTTTCCTGACCATAGTAATTGCTGTCTACTTTGCCAAGACACAAAGTAGAGAGATCCTCATTGTATTTATTTTACCACTGTCTGTTCAGATTAGATGCTGCAAGCTTGGGAGTGACTTATGTGGACCTGCATGCTATTTTGCAAATAATATGCAGAGGGGCATTGGACAGTGAGACTGGAGAGATGCAATTAGGTTCTCACACTGGCAGTATAATTTTCTCTTTTTTGGAAAAAAAACAACAACAACGGTTGAATTGTTACGGTGAAAGCAAGATGACATCTGCTGCTGCAGCTTTCTTGGAGTCTGGTTTTGTTCAGTATCCACAGATGCTAAAAGATCAAAATCCTCATTTCACCTGTGAGCTTGCATCAGAAGTGAAGATGAAAAGTTCCACCTTAGGAATTTTTGATCTTGTGAAAGTTTGATTAAAGTAGAATTAGCACTAGCCAGTTAGCTGGGATGGATGAGCTGGGATGAGGTGCTTCTGGATTCCTCTCATCGATACTTATGAGAAATATTCATAAGTATCACCAAGAGTTTTCAGATAGGCTGAGCCAAGGAACAATCGGGATAACGTAGAAATACCAAGATTCCTGTATTACTCTGAAATAACTTACCTTTCAAGATGCCAAGATCTTTTAAGCTTGCTTAAAATGAGGATGAGGAGAGCCCTTGCATATCTTACTTTTGAATAGAATGCCAGTGCCGACTTTCCTCAAATATAGCCAAAAGTCACATAAGGCTCAATATTTGTAGAAAAAAAATAAGGTGATTATAATATAATGCTCACCAAAACCAAATTGAGAACCATAAAGCAGTTTCTTTGGGGTGCAACTGACTCTAACAGTACCATCGTCTTGCTGCTAACTCTCCATCTCCAGAATGTGGAGAGAGAAAGAGAGAGGGAGGGAGGGAGGGAGAGACGTGTCACTTTAACTTCACACAGGTACAAAATTATCTAACATCTTCAGTCTTACATAGGGATTTTTCTGGCTTGCAGCATCTTTCTTTTTTCCCCTGTGACAAAAAGTTTTGTAAGCTTTGTTTTGAAGGCTTTGCTGTGATTCTTCACTCTTTTGCCTGTTTTATCATGTGTCCGTTGTGGTTTTATTTATTATTTCTGTCCTCTTTGTTTCTTGTATCCCATGTGCCGTTTTCATGTCTCCTCTACTGGATGCCAATCCCTTAAAAGGATGTCTTTCCTACTTTCCTCTGGATCCTAATGCTAATGATAATAAGCTATCAATGTTGTAATTGCAATGTATGGATTATAGATTTAAGTATTTATTATTATATTATTATGTAATTTTGCTTCTATGTATGTTGATCTTTGTTTCTCTGTTGTGAATATATATGGGCTTTTCCCTTCTCCACCTGCCCTCTGCTTTCTCTGATTCCAACTGTATGCAAAGGCTGGTCAACCCTGTGGCATGTGTGATTGCCAAATAGTGCACAGATGGAGGTGGAGAAGTCCTTCTCTCAGGGATATCATGTTCTCTTAAAAACTCTGCCAGACACTGAAGCTTTCCTAGATCCACTAAAGTTTTGTAGGAAGAAAGACAAAAGCTCTAATATGATTTAAGTTAAGTGACGAGTGCATCAGGAGGTATAGAACACCTGTTTTTCATCTGACAGTAGTTTTCCTCTTCTTGGCTACAAATCCCAGCACCCACAATTATTATAGCCATTGTGCTGTGATGGGGAATTATATTCCTACTTATCTGTATGGTATTAGATGGGGGAAAGTGGACACAGAGCTAATGCAGACTAATTTCAGTGCAACGATTTCCCCCCATCCTTGGGATTAAAATTTGATGAGTGCTAAAAACTCAACAAAATTGTTTGCACTCTGGAGAAAATCTAATTTCCCAACCTCTTTTCAAGTCACGATTCTGTATCAATAGCCATCATACAAATACGTTTGATGGAAGCCAAAAGCAATTAAAATGAGGCATTTAGTCTCCAAATCCTGTAATAAAACCCAGTTAAATTCAATTTTGTAGTATAGACTTTTCTGTCACCATAGTATTGCGATTACATTAGACTAGACAGGATAGAAGAGATACAGAGCCTGCTCCCTTATTGATAGTGAGGACTTTTTTCATGTTAACAGTATTCAGGTATCAACATGAAAGACCCAGGTATTTCATTCTAAAGTTGTATAGATTTCAGTGGAATATTTATCATTTAATGTATTTAGTATTATTGCTCCAACAAAATTCAAAGCTGCAACTCTTTTCTGTATAGTTGCATGTCATGGGCAAGTCTCTCTTGACTTCTTCAATATAGTGAAGCAATTATGGCTGGTTTGCACACAGAACAAGTGTCCCTCTCTAATTTGTTGTAGAACCTGGAGTGGCTGAAACCCCCAGGGGCGATTCCTCTATCTCTAGGAATCGTTCAGAGACTGATATCCGCCCCACACCATTTTTCCTTTATTGCTCAATGAATAGAAGTCAGTATTGCAAAACACACAGGACATTTCTAAGAGTCCTTTCTAACCATCTTATCTGCCACATGTTTTCCTAGCCGTTCTCAGTAGGAATCAGTAGAATAGCCATTCAACAGATTGTTTTGAGATTTCAGAGAGGAGGTGCAAATTTTCTGTTGCAATATGTTGTGTTTATTTATTGTTGCTCAGAATTCTTTTGGAAAGAGTAGAGAAACCGACTTAACCCAACGTTCTCAGAAGGCATACACAGAATCCCTCTTGTCTGTGGAGCCACATTTTTATTCTGCAAATTCTTCTGTCTTGTAAAACACATTAACGGGGGAATTGGTGACGAGATGCTGAGCCTCTGACGCAGGCACAGAACTGAAGACCTTCATCTGTGAAGATCCTCAAGCAAGTGATGAAGACCTGATTCTCGGGGCAATTCATAGGCAAGGATTGCTCTAGGAATGGAAATTTGGATATAGAGATCTGTGTGTTCTGGGAATGAATTCTGAGTACTATCTAGGATGGGTGAAGTGTGCAGGGGGGGAAATGACACTGCATCTGGTCTGTGAGTTTGTCCCCTTCCTTCTCTCGTGATAACCAAACTTACAGCCCCTTCTGCCTGCTAAAGGAATGCTGACATTGGATGTTGCTTGGCAGGATTGAGTGGTACACTCGGCCCCTGCATTGACTTTATTTATTTATTACTGAAGGCTGTAAACAGCAGTGCTTTTACCCTCTCTTTCTTTTCCTTTCTTTTGTATTTGGGAACAATGTGTTGTAATAAATTCCTGATAGATGTTTTAACAGTCAGTGTCAATTTTGCTTTTTTATTAAGGAGTCAGCAAATTTCAGACATACCAGATCTACTCTGTGGTTGTTATACATGTATATCACTCTTAGCCAGAGTGGCAGCTAACAATAAATGCATAAAAACCAAAATCCATATAAATAAACCATGCACATTGGAGGCTCCACTTACATATCATAAAGCAGTCTCTTCCTTTGCCAGCCAGAAGAAAAATGCCTTTATGAGTTTTCTAAAGTTTAGAGGGAGGGAGAGGAGACTGATCGAAGAGCCTCTGGGGGAGAGGCCCACAAAATGTGGCGAGTAATGGAAACAGACCACTTTTGACCCATTACAGTCTTGCGGGTATGGGATCTGGAGATTGTTGACCCTATGAGATCTACTTGGGCCACCACATTCTGTACCAGCTTCCAGATGTTCTTCAAGGGCACCTACATCTTGAACATGTTAACAGTAATCCAAGAATGAGGTGACCAGGGGTGTGAATAACCATGACCAATAGTCTCCCAGTCTGAGAATGAATGTAATATAATTGTAAAGGCCCTCCTAGCTACATCTGTTGCTTGAATTTAAAGTAGAGCCTGTGAGTCTTGAAGAATTCCAAATTGCAGACCATCTCTGAACCGGGTAGAATATCTCCATTCTAAAGTAAATATGGTATTATTTTTTTTTGGAATCGTTCATACCTCAAATCTGGAGCCATTCCATCTTGGAGGAATTCAGATGGAGTCTATTCTTCCTCATCTAAACCCTGACAGTTGCCAAGCACTGAGACAAACTCCTACCACGTTGCTTGCTCAGTCTTGGGCTCGGTATCATCAGCATATTGCCCAAATATACTGGAGACTGTGCTGATAAATGCCTTCTCCCAGGGGTTTCACATATGTGTTGAAAAGAAATAGGGAGAGGAAGGACTATCACAAAATAGAGGTCTTGGGATAGCTCTACCATTATCACTGGCTGGAACTACCTCTACAAGAAGGAGTAGAACTGTTGATAGTATGTGGAAATTACCATATTTTTCAGAGTATAAGAGACACGTTTCCCCCCCTAAAAGAGGGTGAAAATTTGAGTGCATCTTATACACCAAATGTAACCCCACCCACCCCACCCCTCAGCCTCCATCCTTTGGCCTCTGCCTCCCAGCAATTTACCTCCTTGCAGCAAACAGCAAGGATCCCGACTCTCAGCTGCAGGGATGCAGGGATTGCTATTGCCGTGTGGGCCTCTGCTGTTTGCTGCAAGGAGGCAAATTGCTAGGAAGCAGATTTTTTTTTTCTTGTGCTAATCAGACTGTGATGAAAATGAAAATGAAACTAAAGCAGGCTATTTGCTGCAAGGAAGAAAATTGCTGGGAGGCAGAGGCAGATTTTTTTTCTCCCCAAAATAGGTAGGTGCGTCTTATAGTCCAGAACATCTTATACTCTGAAAAATATGGTACCTTGGGAGACAGGAGAGCTGCAGATGGGACAACTGGCATATAAAATATATCTCAGTCCACAGAAGGGAGGCTGGTGGCATGGGAAATATTTCAGAAGGTACCTTCCTTAGTAAAAGAAAGGAGAGGAGAAAAACCTTGCAAAATTCATGGGTACTCTTTAAAAACCCAATGCCTCAAAATCTCTTTCTTCCTGGTTTGGGTGGGGAAAAAGCTAAACAAAAATACTAATCTCTAACACCAGCCCCAGCTGAAAATCTTAGTATGGTTCAGTTCAGTAATGAAGGCTTTATTCTGTGGGCTTCTCCAGCAGATAGAAAGAAGTGTGGTCTCGCCAGGGCCAGAAATGGTCTCCCTACTTCAATTCCTAGCAACATCTTACATATTCACAGTATTGCAAATCTCTCTGTCTCTTTTAATGATGCAGATTAGTTTGGTTCACTTTGGAAAGAATGGAAGATTCTCCAGATCAATTATATTTACTTAAAGTTACTGCTCTTTTGGCTAGAAAGGAAACAATAGCTGAAAACTTAAAAGAGTTGGGATGGGAGTGACATCCAGGAAGCTTGCTAGCTTAAAAGAAACCTGAAGACTAGAACCGATCCCTTACCAAAAGCAAAAGTGGCCTGAAGAATGTAGCTAAAGATGAGTAATCTGATATGTAATTGTTTGTACAGTTAGAAATAAAGGTTGACTTTGGAAATAGCACAGACTCCACATTGGTCATTCTTCTTGATGACTTTTGGAGAAGCCAGAATCAGGGGCATGCTCCCCTTTTGGTCCATTTTGGTCTCCTGGTGGTTTGCAATACCACCAACCATTGTATCCTTCTGAAATGGGCAGGGATAGCATTTTTAACAATTGGTTACAGCAATTGTACAACAAAAAAGATTCCAAAGACGATGCAATCAGTTTGCATAATCACATGGGCATAAAGGAAGCATAGGAAGAGCCATAGTGGCAAAGTGGTTAGAATGCAGTATTGCAGATTAACTCTGCCGATGCCAGCAGTTGAATCCTCACTGGCTCAAGCTTGACTCAGCCTTCCATCCTTCCGACTAAAATGAGGGCCCAGATTGTTGGGGGCAATATGCTGACTCTGTAAACTGCTTAGAGAGGATTGTAAAGCACTGTGAAGCTGTCAAGCGCTGGGGAAATCAGGAGATTCAGGCACTTCAAATGAGTATAAAGATTTATTGCAAGCTTAAGCTCTCTCTCTTCTTTTTTTTTTTTTTTTAATTTGATTTATATGCCGCCCTTCTCCGGAGACTCAGGGCGGCTTACAATGCGTTAAGCAATAGCCTTCATTCTTTTGTATATTTTTATACAAAGTCAGCTTATTGCCCCCACAAACTGGGTCCTCATTTCACCTACCTTAGAAAGGATGGAAGGCTGAGTCAACCTTGAGCCTTGGAGAGATTCGAACCAGCAGAAATTGCAGGCAGCTGTGTTAATAACAGGGTGCACTAAACCCCTGTACTATCAAGGCTCTTAGTATCTTTTAGTATCTGACCAACTGGCAGTCAAGGAGCAAAGGAGCTAAGGCAGGCATTAAAGGTGGGCTGGGCTTAGATCTCTTGCGGTCACACACGGACTTATGATGCATTTGACTCCTGCCTTGGGCTCAGCCTTGTCATCTCCCACAAAGCAGTATATAAGTCTAAGTCGGGGTGAAATCCAGCAGGTTCCGATAGGTTCTGGAGAACCGGTAGCGGAAATTTTGAGTAGTTCAGAGAACCGGCAAATACCACCTCTGGCTGGCCCCAGAGTGGGGTGGGAATGGAGTTTTTGCAATCTCCTTCCCCTAGGAGTGGGGAGGGAATGGGGATTTTGCAGTATCCTTCCCCTGCCACGCCCACAGAACCGGTAGGGGAAAAAATTGGATTTCACCTCTGGTCTAAGTGCTATTGCTAGTGCTATTGTGGGTCACAAAATTTCTTCTTACATTGCTATCTCAATTGTCGTAGAGGATGTCGATGAGCAAACAACCTTCCCCCCCGCACCCCAGCGACCTAATGGCCCAGCTTGAATTATGCTTGGAAATGCAAATAGACCTGCAACAACAATTCTAATTATAGCAAAGGCAGCAAGACCACATCTCAACAGCAAATCAATGTTCAATTTGGCAACTGTGCCTTTAAAAATCGCAAGAAATGATGTACATATAGTATATTGCTGTTATTCTTGACAAATTTGATCCCATTGATGAGGATCAAATTTGGATTCAGGATTCTGGTGCTGATTGTCAGTGAACCTTTGCCAGGGTTGTGAGAAATGCATCTTTTGCTCGAGATGAAAGTGCACTAAAAGGGAGGGTGGGGGAGGTAAAAGCTTTGGAAAGCCTGACACAGAGTAACCAACAGTGCTTTGATCAATGCCTGCCACAAATAGGGTAGACTGCCGATTGGCCAATATGTTGAGCCTCCTCCTCTGGCAAGAACTGAATTAAAGTCCAAATGCAGTTTGGAAGAAGGATCTTTTCTAGGTCTGATTCCAGCAGAGGCAGGGATTGCTCCTCAAATTTTGCAGATGGTTTCCTTCGGTATTGCTGATTTGCCAACCGCACAGAGTACTGATTCAGAAGGTCACAAATTTGATTTAACCGGGACCCAGTTGTAACCCAGGCGAAATCGAGGAGAGAAAGAGAATTCCTTGAAGCCTGGTTTTCCACCAATACATCAATAAACAGACACATTGACATCGACCCAATCTACCAATCACTGAGAACGAAAGAACTGCATCAACCACGATCCCAAAGGTAGCATTTAAAATGAACAAACAGGCACCCCACTACGCAGCAACAAAATTGTAACATTGGTTCATAAGAAATAACAACTCTAATCCTAATCTGCATCACACAGATGGTATTTAACTACAGCCCAGCAACAACAGCCAGCCAATCAAACAGGCCAAAATCAGACCATGACTCAGAAATAACAATAGCACTTAGATTTATATACTGCTTCACAGTGCTTTACAGCCCTCTCTAAGCAGTTTAGAGTCAGCATATTGATCCCAACAATCTGGGTCCTCATTTTACCAACCTCAAGAGGATGGAAGGCTAAGTCAACCTTGAGCCTGGTGAGATTCGATCTGCCAAATTGCAGGCAGCCGGCAGATAGCAGAAGTAGCCTGCAGTACTGCACTCTAAAATATCTGAACAAACAACATTCAGACTAATTTGCATCTCATAAAAAGGTATTTAAAGCAGGGGTGAAATCCAGCAGGTCCTGACAGGTTCTGGAGAACCGGTAGCAGATATTTTGAGCAGTTTGGAGAACCAGTAGCGGAAATTTTGAGTAGTTAAGAGAACCAGCAAATATCACCTCTGGCTGGCCCCAGAGTGGGGAGGGAATGGGGATTTTGCAATATCCTTCCCCTGCCACATCCACCAAGCCACACCCACCAAGCCATGCCCACAGAACTGGTAGTAAAAAAAATTGGATTTCACCACTGTTTTAAAGACCTGTGTTCTAACAGAAGAGCACAATTCAAAATGCACTGATGATCTCTCCTCGAATGGTGATGAAACATTTGCAACCAAATTGCCAAGCTCGGAGC